ATCGCTTCAGTCAACACCACGTGGTCCATAGTTCATAGTTGGTTGGTCCAGATCGTAGTCCCTTGTATTGAAATACGGCTGGTCGAAAGTAATCACAACACAACACTCATGCATTTAAAAAGGAAGTCATTCTCAGTGGTTGACTAGTATGCTGCAGCCTTGTATGCCGTGGTGGGAGAAGCTGTAAGCAGGCTTGTAAACGGGCTTGTAGGCCGGAGCGGCAGCATTGTAGGCCGGAGCGGCAGCCCTGTAGGCTGGAGCGACAGCCCTGTGGGCAGGGCCGTAGCCTTGTAGGAGGGAGCAGCAGCCTTGTAGGCAGGGGCGGCAGCCTTGTGGGCCGGAGCGGCAGCCTTGTAGGCAGGGGGCGGGGTGGTACTCGGGGTACTGGGCCTCTCCCTCGTAGGTGACCTCAGCGTTGTAGCCACCGTAGTTATCGGTGACGTACTTCACGTGCTGGACACGGCCGTCGGGCAAAGCCCACCGAGTAATATCCCTGGGTGTTGTGGCCATCGCTCTCCTCCCTCTTGGCGAAGTTGGTACCAGTGTAGTGGTCGTTGACGGCGTAGTCGTAAGCGAACGGCTTGGCCGTCTCCTTGTACTGGGGCCTCCGAGTGGTAAGAGGCCGGCTTGTACGAGGGTACCGGGTGGTAGGGGGGCCGGAGCGGGCTGATAGCCCGGCGTCTCCGGTGCCGGGGCGGCGGCGGCGACAGCCAGGACGGCGGCAATGACGAGACCCTGCAATACAGTGAGAGGATGTTTGACGAATGATGTAGCCCATTCAACAGAGCTGGTTTGCACGATATATACTATAACCTCGCTATCTGTGCAGTGCATATCACATCGATAAGCCCAGATTGTACATGGCTTGAAACAAGCTCCAAAGTAGCCAATAGCGCGCCATATCCATGACGTTTTTCCAGCACATGCCTGCATGGTGTGTTCTGATGGCCGGGTGTACAGTGCAAGTGGTGGCTGCTCCCTTGGTGCTTTCGGTTTTATAGTTTGGCCGCTAACCACTGATAGACGGTCACGGTCAGATTCCAGTGAACGGACGCATCCAACGGTGTCACCGGCTGCGCTGACGAATTCGCAAAGAGTTCCCGGTACACGCCCACCTAGAAGTAGACCATGATGTGACGCATGAAGCTGCACATGGACACGCCATTTAATTTCTGCAGGTGAGTCGGGAGACAAATGGCCTAGAACATGTAGCTTGTAACGCAGCAGGTACGTGTCGATCTTTTTTGGACTTGCGCTGAACTCAAGGCGATCATGCCAACGATTTTGAATCATTCATTTGAGATCTTTCAAACCTCTCTTTCATACCCAGCTGACAGCAGTTCTCGCCTCCTACAAAGGTTTTGGCCCACTACAATCGCATCCAATTCGCTACCTGTTCGGCCGTATTTCGTCCGAAAGCGATTATATAGTGGGTTAAGCCCGAGGAGAAACCAGAATATGGGAGAATAGGTGTCGTGTGGAGGTATGAGGCTGAATGTTTAAGAGCGCTCATGTCATTAGGATGCTCTCCCTCCTCCGCACAACACTCATTACAAAGGCAAAGACGGAAAAAAGCCCAAAAGCCTCAAAGCTCAGGGTTTCCATGCTGTCCAAGATTTTTGCAGGTAGGTTAGCCATGTTCGTAATCATGAGTAAATCATAATGCCGTATAGCTAAAATGCTTTATAACGTGAAAGAGAATTCTGACCGTTTCCTAGATTAGTACAGGCTACGCCATGTCTCGAAATGTGACGTCACAAACTATTTTGCTTAAAATTTGCCTTCTTCTGATAGTTCGTGAATTAGGCCACGAAATGTGGTTAGGAAGCGCTTTAAAAGGGCATTTATGGAAACGCCTGTACTGGAAAATATTGGAACAAGGTGGGAATGGATGTAGGCACATTTTGATATATTTACAGCGGAGAGATTGTCGCATGAGCGTAGTAAAACCGCCCAGTGATTCCCGTTTCATCTTCGCCTAGCTTACTCAAGGTCGGTTGGGGAACGAAAACAGCAGCCTTGCATTGGCTCATAAAAACTATCGTGACGTCACTGGTGCCAAGACTTCATGCGCTGGGCCGCTGGAGTCTGAATATAATGCTAAGGTAGCAAACAAAAATCAGAATTATTTGTCCAGATAGTGAGCAACCCGTTAGAGGAATGTGCAAATGACCAGTGAGCCAATAGCGTAGAATTCGGTGGCGAATACAATGATGAACTTTTCTTGTCCAGGTGGCGCTCTATGTGTGCAATAACACTAGAAGTGAATAATCATACACAAGTCTTATTCGCAAAAGGCCGGCAAGAACAACGGGCAGTTTCGTGCCCATACCGAATTAATTTGGTGGCAGACGAATGTGACTAGCGAGCCGATTGTCGATGAGTTAATGACAGGTTTGATGAAGTGTGTGACAACTTGAAGCGGCAACAACTGCAATGCAATTAATGCTTAAACGGGTCATGACGCCGACGGTGGTGGCGAGGGAGTGGCGAGCGTGGAGAGTTTTTTATCTCCTGCATTTGATTGTGTCCGCGTTACTGCATCTGTTCCATTGACGGTAAGGGAGGGAGACAGAGCAAGTCACACATCATTATTCATGAGTGGACTTCAGCTATTTTTATCAGTTTATGATTTGAATGATCATATGATGAAGAATGATCATATCGGTTTATGATTATTTAGTTCATAAGACCCACGTTATGTCTATACCTTTAAGCAGATCTTAAATATGATCACAATTCTTGTTACTTAGAGCAAAGTTTTGCTTTCACAAAAATAACCACGCCATAGTTAACAAGCCTGAATGCAAGCCTGATTGCAGGTTGTCAATCTCTGAGATTCAAGCTTACGGCAAACTAGTTGGACGCTCAGAACAAACTACTATTTTAAGCGGTTGAGTTCCGGGTTAGGATACTTTTTGTGACCTGATCTGTTTCCACATCAAAATAAACTACCGGTCAAACACGGTAGTTTTAACCTAAATTGTCATGACGCTTCCATTGTGGCGCGTTCTGGTGACACAGCTGTGTCACCTACGTTCATGTTCCCAAAGCTGATGACAACATTTTCATGATTATGATAATATCGTAAGGATGAAATGCGTTTTGAAGTGACGACCGTTTTCAGAACAGATTGACGCAGAGACATTCGAACCCCGCAACATTTGGGAACGTTGCTGCCAGTCAACGTCCATAGAGGTCGAGTGTCAACGTTTCAAATTTCTCTGAAATTTTTAACATTAGCTGAAGTGGTCGACCACCACTATGCGGTGCATACGCACACCAATATACGACAATCATACACTATAGCTGGGCAGTCAGTATCTTTCCTCATTCCCCCTTCATGCACCGTGATTAGTAAGCTTAATGATACATCTTGGCATGTCTTAAAAACGAGGGAAGAAAAAGGGGAATTCTTCGCGTTTTATGCGATTTCGAACTAAAAAAGCCATTTTGAAGATGATTTAGTACAGCCCGCATCCTGCCCCATTACACCCTTATCCACTCTAGTTTCTGACCTATACGCCTGCGATGATGTGCTCAGTATTTTGGGTGAGACTGTGTTAGGGTGGCTCGGGCATCCATGACATGATAAGTTTTTTCCATCTTACTCTCCACTCCAGAAAAAACTTCGGGTTGTGGGTCAACTTGACCTCCACCCGAGCGCGTGTGGATGTATAGGTCTAAGATAAGTCCGAATGATAGCATGCATGTGCAATAGCTCAACACGCGCTTGGGTCGGAGTCACTTTGACCCTCAAATGTTTTCCAGAATGGTTTTCGAGCGGCGCGGCAAATGGGTGCCACATTTTGCATAGCTGTGTTAGATTGAGTGGCGGATCGATTGCTATCAAATATTGAAATGCATTTAGATGGATAAGCAATGTAATATAGTGGGGCTTTTCGGGCTGGATCACTAGTTGGGCTACGGGCTGATACACTAGAGAACCTTGCGTCTCTTATCCGTATGTCAGAGACCATGAGACCATAATCCTTGAGAAGGGCTGCTCGGTGTTGGAGTCGTACAGCAGCGCTTCTTCAACACATTTGCACATCATCTCAGCGCCAAGCAGCGACGTCATCACGCTCCGTTCCAACTCTGCCTGGTCGCGTGATACGTGTGAGGCGTGGGTTTCTTTCCGCGATCGGATGCCTAAATGGTGACGATTGGTGTTCGAAAAGTCGTTTCCCACTCCATTTTAGTCCGGTGTATTTTAGCACGCCTTTTCTGTCAACTCAAACAGGGGTCGGCTTGGCACCATGACTTGTGGAACTCTCATTGGCTGTGCGTCCCCGTGACGTGTGTGACGTACGCAGTGGCGGTCCAGACAACCCAGACAATTGCGGTGAGGCTGAGTGCTGGGAACGTTGTGTCAGTCTCACACCTTTCTGCCTGGAACGGTCGTGGAATTATTACAGAAACGAGCAAACGAATTGTTCTGCATTCCAATCAGGTTATCGCGTGGTAGAAAAATGGAGAAAATCAAGCACTTGATACGCGTTTTCCAGGGAATTTGGGCAGAACCTTATCAAACACAACTTGCTTGGGTAAGAAGGAAGTTTAAAGTGGGTACGAATCGCTTGTCAGCGTAACCATCATGACGGTTTTTTATAGCTGATGAAAAGATGACTCATCGCACCATGCGATCCAGGTAACCGGAAACCAGGAGGAGCGGGGAACAAAGCCCCTCTTCCAAGTTTCTGAATATTTAGCATCGTTCCTCTTCCGGTGATCTGACTAAAATGGCCCTCTCACCCACGCATCCACATCCTAACTTAGAACACCCACTGGGACCGCATCAATATGCAATGCAAAGGCCAGTTCCTTAACATAGTCGCATCAATGAAATTACCCACTGGAAAACGCATGATCGCTTCAGTCAATACCACGTGGTCCATAGTCCATAGTTTGTTTGTCCAGATTGTAGTTCCTTGTATTGAAATACGGCTGGTCAAAAATCACACAACGCAACAGTCATACATTTAAATAGGAAGTCATTCTCAGTGGTTGACTAGTATGCCGAAGCCTTGTATGCCGGGGTGGGAGAGCTGTAAGCAGGCTCGTAAACGGGCTTGTAGGCTGGGGGAGCAGCCTTGTAGGCAGGAGCGACAGCTCTATAGGCAGGAGCGGCAGCTTTGTAGGCAGGAGCGACAGCCCTGTAGGCAGGAGCAAGAGCTTTGTAGGCAGGGGCGGCAGCCTTGTAGGCAGGGACAGGAGCCTTATAGGCCGGAGCGGCAGCCCTGTAGGCTGGGGCGGCAGCCTTGTAGGCAGGAGCCGGGTGGTACTCGGGGAACTGGGCCTCTCCCTCGTAGGTGACCTCAGCGTTGTAGCCGCCGTAGTTGTCAGCGACGTACTTGACGTGCTGGACACGGCCGTCGGGCAGAGCCACCGAGTAATATCCCTGGGTGTTGTGGCCATCGCTCTCCTCCTTCTTTGCGAAGTTGGTGCCAGTGTGATGGTCGTTGACGGCGAAGTCGTAGGCGAACGGCTTGGCCGCCTCCTTGTACTGGTCCTCCGAGTGGTAAGAGGCCGGCTTGTACGAGGGTGCCGGGTGGTGGGGGGCCGGAGCGGGCTGGTATCCAGTTGTCTCCGGTGCCGGGGCGGCGGCGGCAACAGCCAGCACGGCGGCGATGGCGAGGCTCTGCAATGCAGTGAGAGCATGTTTGACGGATGAGGCAGCGAATTCCGCAAAGCTAGTTTACACGATGTACATTATATCGTCGCTGTATATACTGTACTGTATTTCTACGATATGTACTAAAACTTCGCTGTCTGTTCGATGCATATCACATCGCTACGCCCAGAGTGAACATGGCTTAAAATAAACTCTCTAGTAGCCAGCAGAGCACCGTATAAATGGCATCATTCTAGTACATACCTGCATGTTGTGTTCTGAAGGCCGGGTGTACAGTGCAAGTAGTGCCTGCTCCCTTCGTCCTTTCGCTTTTATAGGTCGGGCCGCTAACCACTGATAGACGGTCACGGTCAGATTCCAGTGAACGGACGCGTCCAACGGTGTCACCGGCTGCCCTGACGAATTCGCACGGAATTCCTGGTACACGCCATCTCCTAGAAGTAGACCATGATGTGACCCATGATGTTGCATATAGGCACGCCATTCAGTATCTGCAAATGAGTCGGAAGACAAATGGCCTAGAATATATAACCAAAGGCTCGTATAGATGCTTTTTGGCCATGCTCTGAACCCATGGCGATCATACCAACGATTTGGAATCTTTTATTGAAGTGATGTTAACATTTTTTCCATCTCCAGATGGCAGGAGCTTTGGCCTCGTCTGAACCCCGCATTGGCCCCAACACATGGCATCCAATTCCATACCCTTTTAGTCTTTTGTATCCGAAAAGAATTATGAAGTAGGTTATGCCCGAGGAGAAACCGGAATATGTGAGTATAGGCATTTTGAGACATGAGCCTGACTGCTTGAGATCGCTTATGTCATTAGAATGCCCCCCTCCCCCTCCCCACGGCACTCCTTAGAAAGGCACAGGCGAAAACGGAAACTGGACGGCCAGGCTGATGCGTGCATGCATGTTTCTTGTTTCGAAATGCTGTTTAAGATAATTAAGCTGTCAACTCGCTTCTACAAATACGAATCGTGTCTCACTGAAAGGTAGAGATGCCACGCATATCGGCCTATGTCATTTAAATTGCGAGTTATGTTGGCACATACATAACTAGGCGCTATTCGCAAAATACGGATATGACGTACGCCGAATCTGAATTACACCCAATAACTTTATCTCAAAGCCAGAACCAAAATCTCAAAGCCTCAAAGCTCATGCTTTCCATCCTTTCTAAGTTTTTGGCACGTAGGTTGGCCTGGTTCCTCATCAAAGGCAGAGCATAATGAAGGATAACCAAAAAGTTTTAACGCAATAGGCACGGCATCACGAAAAAGTTGTAAGAAAATTCCGACCGTTTCCTAGATTTGTCCAGGCTATGGCATGCTTAACATGTGACGTCACAAACCTTACTCCTGAGAATTGGTATCACCAACTGATGTCATGACCTACTTCTTAGAGTTTGTGTAGTGGGCCACGGAAGTTGGTTTGGAAGCGCTTTAAAAATGGCGTTAACGGAAACGCCTTTAGTGGAAAAGATGGGAACAAAGAAGGAATGAATGTAGGCGCCCATTTAATATATTTACACCGGAAAGATGGAGGTATAAACGTGGTTAAACCGTCCAAAGATTCTCGCTTCATCTTCGCCTAACTTGCTCTAGGTCCGTCGGGGGAAAAATGGCACGAAAAGTGAATACTCATACCCAAGTCGTATTCGCAAAAGGGCGACAGAAACAACGGGGTGCTTTGTACTCATGCCGAATAAACTTAGTGGTGACGTATATGGCCAGTGAGTCGATTTTGTATAATTTAACAAGTTTGATGAAATACGTGGCAACCTTAACACGCGTCTGGGTGGGCCGGCTAGATACCATTCGCCCGGGTGGGGGTGGGGTCAATTTGACTCTCCGCTCGAGATCTCGGGAACTAAGAAAGCTAGAGACACTAAATTTACAGGGTGTCTTGACCTGTATGTAAACTCATTAAGGTCAAAGTTTTGGGCTTCCTAGGTTCCAGGTTGATCTCCAAAACGCTCCCAGGACCTAGGCAACTGTTTCTAAGCAAAAAGTTAGTAGGTCCATTTGAGTTCAGTGACCTTGTCTGACCTTTTGAAGGTCATGGTGACAAAAACGATACAAGACTGCTCTGAGTTTGCATTTGAATGAGCGACAAAGATTACGCTAGGCAGTATGCTCCTAAAACAAAAGTCGACCGGGGTCATTTTAGGTCAAGTGACCTATTCTGACCTCAAAGAAGTCAATGGAGGATGTACAATGTCATTCCTGCTGTCAATAAATTCGGAATGAGCACAGAAATCAGAATTCAATTTCATCAGAAACTATCCCGTACAGCAAGCCCTAAAGTAATAAATCAGGTTGGTTTTGACCTTGGTCTTACGCTCATACCTGACCTTAGGTCAACGCAATTTGCTCATTCAGTATTTGTGGTGCCTAAGAAAGCATCTCAGAGATGTATGCTTCGTCAAACACTCCGTTGTTGTATCAGATTGAACGATTCCCTGGAAATTGCCTTCGCTGAAACCATGGCCTGCCTTTGACCTGCCATAGGTCAGTGACCCGGCAAGGTACATCTAAATTTTTATGTCAAACGATGCGCTATTCAGTTGGCCACAGCTATCCAAATTTGGCGTGGCTACGCCGCGCCGTTCGGAGACCATGCTGAAAAAACTTTCGAGGGGCCAAGTTGGCCCCCCTACCCGAGCTCGTGTCAACACGCGCTCAGGTCGGCTCGCTTTCAGCTTCATAGCTCTAGAAAGCTGAATAGTGGGTTGTTTTGCGTCACAAATTTAAATGTACCTTGTGAGGTCGCTGACGTTTCAGGTCAAAGTCAGGTCATGGATTCAGTGAAGACAATATCTAGGGAACCGTTCAATTTGATGAAACAGCGAAGTGTTAGACGAAAGCCATGCATCTCTGAGACAGTTTTTCAGGTAACGCAACGATGGAATGGACAAAGTTCACTGATCTAGGGTCAGATCTGACGGTCAGACCCAGGTCAAAGCCGGCCTGCTGTATTGCTTTATTGCTCGCTGTTGGCAGGTAGGCAGGTCACAAGCTATATATATATATATATATATATATATATATATATATATATATATATATATATATATGTATAAGGCCTGTGGTTGTGTGCGTCTGCGTGTGCGTGCGTGCGTGCGTGTGTGTGTGTGCGCGTGCGTGCGTGCGTGCGTGCGTGCGTGCGTGCGTGCGTGCGTGCGTGCGTGCGTGCGTGCGTGCGTGCGTGTGTGTGTGTGTGTGTGTGTGTGTGTGTGTGTGTGTGTGTGTGTGTGTGTGTGTGTGTGTGTGTATGTGTGTGTGTGTGTGTGTCTGTGTGTGTGTTTGTGTGTGTGTTTGTCTGTTTGTGAATACGTATAGATAGAACGTTAGAGTTATCAAAAGATACGACCACGCTTTTTCAAAGAATACGTTGTTTACCATCTATATGGACCTTTACCGATACGTTTCTCGTGACATGCCAACATCTGGCTTTATGTGTAAGTGAGGTCAAGTGTAAGTGTGTAAGTAAGGTCAAAGCCGGTCTGCTTTATTGCTTTATTGCTCGCTGTTGGCGGGTAGGCGGGTCCAGGCAGGTCGCAAGCTATATATATATATATATATATATATATATATATATATATATATATATATATATATATATATATAAGGCCTGTGCTTGTGTGCGTCTGCGCGTGCGTGCGTGTGTGCGTGCGTGCGTGTGTGTGTGTGTGTGTGTGTGTGTGTGTGTGTGTGTGTGTGTGTGTGTGTGTGTGTGTGTGTGTGTGTGTGTGTGTGCATTTGTGTGTGTGTGTGTGGTGTTGTTTGTGACTACGTATAGATAGAACGTTAGAGTTGTCAAAAGATACGACCATGTTTTTTTAAATAATATGTTGTTTACCATCTA